CTTGATAACTCATCTCTGCTCCTCCAATAGATGCAAATTACAGATTTACATTCCAAACCAGCAAGATGCCGTCAAGCTGGTAGACGGAAGCTTCCATCCCAAGCAACTGCCTACAGTAAGTTAACAAATGCAGAATACTTAGAGGGCATGTGAATATGTATTTGCTTCAGCAAAGCAATCAAAAGTGTGATATACATGAATGCTGTAGCTTATTGTTGCTTTGGGTGAACAGTTTCTGATTACACTAGTAAAGACGTGTTATGCCTAATCCAGTTTTGTCACTTAGTTCATTGTCTTTTAAAATAAATTATTGGCATTGACGTTTACTGTCTATCTGAATGAACTTTCTGTAAATGCCATTAATATTGGTGGGTCTATAATAAAAATAAATTGTCAAAAAAAGCTGAAGCGAGCTGGAAGGTGTGCCTTTGCATAGCCATTTTGTTTCATATCTCTTGGCTGATGACAGGCAAGTGTAATGGTCCTTCAAGTAATGGAATCAGCCACTCTAGAAACAAACACTCATCACATTCATACCCAAAGCACTGGGGTCTCATTTGCATATGAATGACATCACCATTAGGTCTGGGGCTGACCTGTAACGAGATTGGGTGTGGAGGTGGGGGCGGGGGGAGGGGGGCTTTGAGGCAAAGACATTACTCATATTCTTCACCTCCAGACAGCCACTTCACCCAATACATGCCACCAAAACAAAACAACCAAACTGGTGATGTAATAGCAAAGATATGTGACATCATACACACAGAAAGTACCATTACTCTTGTGAACTGTCTCAATATTACTAGCTGTTTAGAGGAATGATTACATTTACTGTGTATTGTTGTAACACTTGACAGGATAGCAGATGTCTGCGTGCCACAGTTAAGAAAGAGGAATTGGTAGTTTTTTTTTTTCTTAATGTAAAACCATTATTGTAAATACCATGTTAATAAGTTCTCCATTTGAGAGGAAAAATACGCTGCATCGTGCAATTTTAGGAATTACCTGTTAATACACACTGAACCCTTAAAGCATGCAGTTTCAGTCGCCATAAGACTGGACTTAACTGGGCCAAATACACTTCATTAGACTTCCAGTGGGACCCCAGTGCCCAGACAGCTCAAATAATGGAGTGGCACATTCCTGCATGTTAATGAATGGCAGTGTCTGTTATATCTAAGGCTCAGATTTACACTCCCACCAAAACGCTCATGGACAAACACTAATAAACCATCTGATAATTTAACCATGGTAGCCTGTATTGTGGACGCCTAGGATTTAATATGGTCAGCAAAGCAACAATGTGTAGATGAATAATCTGATGAATTATCAGACCTTAAATAAGCAAAAAATATTTTGAAAATCCCACACGGAAACAGCTCTGACATGCAGACATATTGAATCAGAGTGGCGGTAATTCACGGGCCACTTTGTGCATGTAGTGGTTCTGTAGACAAGGTCGACTATAGAGAAACCAGAAACCTACAACAGCTCATTGTCCTACAGTACATGCTAATTTCAGATGTAGCATTCATATTGCCCAAATTCTAAGGCATGTTTCTTCATGAACATATTTTAAAAATGGGTTTAATGAAAAAACTTTTTCAAAACTGAAACCTTAAAAAATATGGCATTCACCATAACAAGAACAGTAATTAATAATCATTGTGACCCTGGCCAGGATTAGAGGGAGGATGGACAGATGGATGTATGGATGGACAGAAGGATGGACGGACCGATGTATGGACAGAAAAAATCAAGAACAAATTTATACAGGCTTGCTCAAAGGAATTAACGAGCATCATAAATGTTCTTTTGTGACTGTGTTCTGTGGCTGAGACTGTAGGTGCAGTACAAAAACCAACAGCTTTGATTGCCTACAGCTATTGCAGGAACAAAAATAGCCCAGGATCACTGATTCCCAAGCAAAGCAGACATGTTCTGACCATGCTGTGCGCTGAGGCGCTTCTTATCCATGATGTTCACACCAGAGGGTTATGAATGTGGGATTTTTTCCACGCTAAACCAAGACGACACTGAGATGCGTGTTAGCTGTGCTTTTTTTCCCCCCAAAGTGCTACATCTTGTTTATAGTTGTTATTGTATTGTGGGTTGATATTAAGTGAAGGGTAAAGGCTAAAATGTCGCAGAAATATACAATATCCACATTGGCACATAATCCCAAGACCTTTTCTCTGCTTTAAGTTCAAATCTGATCATTCTTGTTCCTAAAGCCATCTGTTGTTCGCTGTTTCTAAACGTGCTTATAATCATGTTCATTAAGCCCTTTGCTCAGCTAATACAGCATGTCTCTTGGCAGCCTGACAACACTGTGAATCAGATTATAGGGGATGGGGGGGTGGCATGGGGGGGTGGCACTGCCAGGGAACAGAGGGGGTCAGTGCATGTGTGACACAAGGCCTGCCACTTGCTGGCACAACCCCCATCTTTGGCAGCCTCACCTCATTAATAAGGACTCTGTAATTTTCCTACCGGCTTGCACATTTATTTAAGCAGCATTTCATTTTATGTCACCGCATAGTTGTAAACCAGTATAGGACAAGCTTTAAATCAGCTAGTCTTCATTTTCCTAGTGGTGTTCAGGCCTCCATTTTCCTTACCGCTTACCTGCATGCTATAGGATTACTGTGAACCTGAAGCCCCTCCCACTTGGTACAGTGCAAAAGGAAGTGGGGGGGGAGGGCACCCAGCTCACCCAACACCAGTTTTCCTCATCACTGCTTCTTGCACCGTGACCAAGGAGATCGTAATTTCATCTCAGCATATGACAATATAACTACAGATCCTTGACTTGTGTACAAAAATATAATTTGCAGAGAAGAATCAATTGCATAATTCAACTACGCATTAAACTACATTACGAAAGTGCTTTAGCTGGGACACTTAACACGAAGTCCAACGTTCTCCCTGTAGGTGATGTGGCAATGCTCACATTTCCAGAGGGAAGTACGTGCAATGTGCAACCCCACAGCAAAACTGTCAGATGCTAAGTGTGTAGCACGTTGTATATAAAGAAGATTTGCCCAGTTTCACATGACAAAATTTCCTGTTTATAAGCAAATGACAGCCAGGCTTTTTTCGTTTGTTTAAATGTAAACTTTTATTAACTGTGTTCAATACAGCCCATGTACAGTCACACACAGGGGATCTACCAGGTTGATTCATACAGTGCAAATCCAGCAAACAATAGTAATTTACAGACATATAATGCACATGCATCAGTAAACGGAACACTCAACAATTTACAAAGGCATTTTTAAGTGCAAAGAGAAAATTTTGTAAACAAAAGCTGCAACCAACTGAACTGATTTGTGCTGTAAATTGACAGGGTCTCCACAATCTGACTGATAAGATTCGTATAATCAGTAGGAATCCCAATGATTTCAGTTAACGAGTATGCAGATATATGCCAAACATAATGGTTTTAAAAATAGATTTGTGCACAAATCACAGATTATCAAAAGCATTGATAATTTTATGCATATAATTTTATCTATTTAAAGTGATTAGAAAGTAAACTACAAGAATAGTATATACTGTATTGAGGGAATATGTATTGCACAGGCTCCATAAAATATTATAATTAGAAATTATAGTTTAATGATTGCAATATATTTATGTATATAAATAGTGTGTAAAATTTCCAGTGAATAAATATATTCACTCACCATAAGTGCACTGGGTTTCTTATTTGAAGGTATATAGTTATTAAAATGGACTTCACTGGAATGCAGATCTAAGTGTTACAACTGGTGTCATTTGACGGAAGCTGGTTTCAGCTCAAGTAAAAAGATCAGAGTGACTCAGCCAGAGCTTTCAGATCCTTGGTCGCTAACACTATGAAATCTGATGTGATCTGACATCTACTTTACTAGTGCCAGTGAAACTATTGTACAGTGTGAGATATAATTTCTTGTCATTCAGGTTAAACTCATGTTAGGGGCTGCTGAAGCTGCACATTTTGGCCACATATTATTGGCAAATTAGAAGCAGTATGGTCACAAAACTGGAATCCATAATGACCCCTTCTCAACATCTTCATATGCATGGATAGCATTAAAATGTGATAAGTACACTGCAAATCTCTACTGGACATTACAGTGCAGAGTTTGAACGTCAGTCATCATGTTTATTTGTTCTGACTTCTAGTTACCTTTAAACTTTGCGGCCCCAAAAGCCGATAATTGTTCTACTGCTGTGTGTTACTGCCCGTGATTGTTGCTCGCGGTTCCCTCTCCAGTTTCAGTTGATTGCAGGCCTCACGCAGTTGCATAGAGAGTAAAGATAGCAGCTCATTCCTTCAGCTGTGTATCACTGAACACAGTGAGCTGCTCTATCGCAGTGCAGTTTCCTTCACTGGTATTGTGAGTTTCACACTTGCATATCTCTGATTATCACGACAAAGTAATAAAGGATCCTACATACAACATGAGATACAAACACCACTGAAAAAGAAAAAGAACAAGATTCAAGGGTGTCATGGTGCTCTCAGTATTCCAGGCACAGATTGAATAAGGAACAGCTCCTTGAGTTGTCTATTCTGTACAGTATAATTGTGCAAAGATTTAGTGCAGACTGTTGGCTCCCATGAAGAATTGTCTCATATTTCATGTTTCATTATGGCGTCTGGCTTATGCTGGACAAGAAGCATGACAGTTACAACTGAACATGCTTTTAACTGCAGCAATCACTTTCACAACAGCGTTTTAACTCAGCTGGTCCTGTTCTCCTAGCGAAATACAGAACAGTAACCCAGTATGCATTCTACATCTCATACATTCTGTCTCATTTTGACTGAATATATTTAGGTACAATGAAGTAATTAGCTGTAAGTTAGAATAAGCTTCAGATGAAATGTTGAGGCTCCATTCAGATGAATAATTATACTTCTGTTAAGTCCTCCATGATGGATCATACTGTCAGTTTATAGGTACTAGACTCTATGACTAGTTTTGTTTGCTATTCATCAAAACGTTAAGTGTTCTTCAAGTGGAACCTTGAAATGATTTTTTATTAGCCTGAAAACTTGACGGTGTTTTTTTTTTTTTTACAAGTTTGATACCTTGATGAATTGTGACCTTAAAGGCCCAGTCAGCGTCGTTCTCCATGTAGATCCACCCACACTACAAGTCCTTTTCCAACATATATTTTGAACTGTAGCTCCTTTATCCTGTGGCGATGGATAGATTCTCTGTTACATGGTTAGATGATTGCCATGACTGGAATATCCCTTGAAGATATTTCCTCAAAACAAAACTACAATTGTCCCACATGTTAAGTTGATGAAGTTCTTCCACGTTCAAATACAGGTGCACAAGACTGTGTGACAGTCACATATGAAACAAGAGAGCCTCATTCTGGGTGTGAGATCTTTTTGAGCAATTGTGAAAACCAACACTGCTCACACCGGTGATTATGAAAGTCCTCAGGCAGCATGACATCAGTGTCTACCTGTCCTCTCACAATGATCAGCATTATGAGCCAATCCTGTGCCAGTCATCTTTCACCTAGGGGAACAGAAAGGATTAATTAGATTATGTTTAGATTATTACTTGTAGGTACATTCTGCATAATCCTATATTAGGTAAGTCACATGTAAGCACTAGGAATTAGGCGGTAGAAAACACTTTTGTTAGTCAGCCTGGGGACTGAGAGTTTAGCGGAACCCTCTGGAAGGAGCCTGGAACACTGTGTTGCTACATACAAAGAGGAAGCATGTGACAGAACCTAAGCTGCTGGAGCCCTTCTGGCTTTGACTGCATGCCAAATCGCAAATTTAGAATATTAAGGTCAATGGGATATGAACCTAATCCCTGTAGTAGTGTTATAAACACTCTACAGGTTCTGTTCAGGTAAAACTCAAAGGTACATCTGAAACTTGAATCGTAAGTGATGTTTGGTACCTTAGTTGATATGGCTACTCTGACTACATTCTTTTTAAATCTAATTATGATCTCTGCTGATCAATAGCAATCAGCTACAGTGAGTTTCGAAAATATATTAGTTATCAAAGCTTATATTATGCAGGAATTCAATGATTTGCAGACTTGATACTGAATAACCCAGCAATTATCAGTCAAAGAAAAGTGAATAATGTGGTTTCTTCATAAAAAAAAAAGTGAAATGGCTGTATGATCTGAAAACGAATTTAGGTTTTTTCGCTGAGTAGCGTGTACTAAGCCACTGTATTAAAACCTTATTTATATCCACAGCACGCGCCTTCACAAAGCTGAGAAATCAGCACTGGGGACCGACTGACTGGGCAAGCGTGTGAGGCGGGAGTCTAGCCTGAATGAAGTTATGGGAGCTGGGAATGTCCGAGCCACAAATTGTTTTGAGTTAACAACGTGCGTAGAATCTTTATTTTCCTAATGCACATTCTCTTTGCTTTTCTTTTTCCCCTCTCTCTTGCTCTCTCCCTCCCTTGCTTGTCGATCTTGAATGAATAGTCTCGCTGCTGGGCCATCAGAGTGCTACTGTGTCCTTCACCCTCTCTACGCCCTCCATGTCCGCCCCCCCCACCCCCCCATGCTGGCTTTGAATAGGTCCTGAATTTAGCAAACAGTCAGGCTGTCAGCTCAATAGGAGGTCTGGCCATGAACTTGAAGTCCTTCTCAAGCTCCCCCCCCACCCCCAGCATCACAAGGAAGGAGGAGGAGGCGTGACAGGCAATAGGGAGGGGGGCAGTGACACAGACAGACATGAGGCCCAGAGTGCCAGCATGGGGGTCGCTTCCATTTCGGTTCCCAGGACTGGTATCTCCATGGGTCTGGGGGGCCAGCTGCTCTCTCGCCAGCTGCACCAACAAGGAGGCCCGTGGCAGCCTGCAGATACGGCGGCGAGGGCGTGGGCTCCCACACAAGCCGAAACTCTCCAGATGCCCCACCCAAACCCCCACCCCCACGTTCCCTACCCAAATTGTCATTATCTCATCACCTACACCAGCCATCCACTTCAGCTTACATTGTATTATTGTAGCTGAGCATAATCTTCACAGCCGCTGCACTCCCAGCAGCCCCCACTGATAGCGACTAACCACGATTATTTAAGTTGCCTAAGAAATTGACGTCATTGTCATGCATAATTTTTGCCATAGTTTGTAAAAGCGGAGAAATTACAGAGCCTTTTCTCGCACGTCCTTATCAGTTACACGCGAGTCCAGGCTGAAGTGGCGCCCGATTTGTCGACATTTTTCGTACATATTAACCAACGAGCAGAAGAGCTGGCTTCGCACTATTTTCTTCCAAATGGAACCATTTTGAAGCATTTGTTTTGATTGTAGGATTTTTATCATGGGTTCTGCTGAGCTGTGCTGAAATTTTACATATACCGTCTCTTGCATTCTAATTGATTCATTCGTTACACCAAAGAGGAGGTGATGACTGCTTCGTCAGACTCTATAAAACAGAATTACAGTGTAGATGATTCATAATGAGACTGAAGCTGCTAACGGGATCTGCTCCCAACATGTCTCATCTCTCTCAAGCGAAATACCTTGTGTACAGGTGCTATTTTTCCACGCCCTCCCTGAAGCATCTATTGGTGAATGGCATCACCCTGGCTTCTGATAAGCGGATGCGAACAAAGGAGACGTTCTCTATGAGGCGGGCACAATGGGTCTCATTGTCTCCCAGGTCCCTTAGTTAATCTGGCCCAGCCGGCTCTAATTGGTGTTTTGGTTAAGAGGTTTTTAAACTTCTCGCTCTCTAGCCCTAATAATGGGTCCCTAAAACAGGCTCGCTGGGGCTAACAATACGGGCCTCGTCTAGGCATCGGCTGTCCCAGAACTCCGCCGGAGACACAAAAAGAGCTTCCCTCTATTGAATCCTCACTGCTGTGCCCTGTCCCCCACCTGCCTGCTCTGTTGGCATTACTGCACAGTGCTATAGGAAAACACTCAGCATCTACCCTCCCTCTCATTCTTCACTTGGCTCAATGGCTTGATATCAGATTCAATTATTTTTATTACTGAACTAAATGTTCTGTTTTGTAATACAAATAAAAGGCGTAGAATTCTTTTACCTATATAAAATAATATTGTTTTATTGGTGTTGAAAAGCATTGAGAGATATTTTTACTGTACATGCTACATAAAAAGACATTGGGTAGTAATGCACTGGGGTTGTTGGTTCTGAGAGCTTGAAGTGTTAATGATGTCTGATCATTGTTCATATAACCATGATTCATAAATAGCTACATCTATTCTCTGTATCAGCTATTCTCATTTATACACAATAGCTTTTTGTGGGACATCTTAATTTTAGTCTGCGTCCATTACGACAGATTAACATGAGATTATCACATAAACCGATAATAAGATTCCAAAACTCTTAGATCCTTCTGTTTAACAACTTGAAGTCTGTGTCCGTCCAAATGCTGCTTGTCAGGCATAAACAGAATGCAAATACATTTCTGTAACAATTTTTGTATTTGACCTGTTTTCTAAATGTTCCTGGAATGTACAGAAAACCATAAAGTGACATATTAACACTACTTGTTAAAACAATAACATTATTATACTGCTATCACAGCAAAGTTAAAATGTAGCATTGTTCGAATAATCCTGAGTAAACATAATGCACTGAAATACATCCTGTCACACTATCGTTTTGTCTTTTTTCGTAAGATACTCGCTGGGTAAATCATTGATTAAAATATTTAGAATAATGCCAAAAGAAGCACTGGCCGTGCTGACAAAATCGCATCGGTCAATATCATAAACTGCAGGTCTTAATTGTGCGAAAATGTACTGATGTTACATTTGCTCAGCAACATCCCTTGTCTGATACTGCATGCATGTATTTGATGTGTCTAAACGAGTGGCCCTCCCCCCCTGGCATCGGAGGGAGGGCACACATTTCCCCGCACGCGAGCAGCGGAGCGTGCATCTCCATTACATGCGTGTATCCACCCAGTATTTGCCCAAGCATATAGTTCACTTGGTGCAAAACACAAAACACCACCCATACCTATATATCGGGCAATTTAAGCGACAAGCACTCGTCATCGGTAATTATAATACCCTCCGGACTGACAGGCTGTTCCGAGCCATAGACGGTGGGGGTCAATTTATTTATTTATTTTACCTGCTTGGGGTCCCACTGCCATTTCATGCCAGCCTTATCCTAAGATGGTGGCGAGGGCGGCATCCTCCCGTACAGGGAAAGCGGGCGGGCAGGCAACCGGGAAGGGAGGGGAAGAGGCAAACGCGTCGACAGGCGCGGCCGCGCAAAGCCGGTGTAAAAATCGCAGCCCCTCCTCCTCTGTTTCACGGTCTCCCTGCGCGCTCATTGCCTGCGAAAGAAGGGAAAGGGGCGATATGAAGAAGTGGAGAGCAGGAGCATGAGTGGCCTTCTGTCTGTCTGACCGGCAGCAGCGGACACATGCACATACAGAGAGACTCGTGCACAGAGGCATGCAAAGCCGCACGCCCTTTTCTCCACGTCTGTTCTCTCGGTACAGTCTGCCCCTGAGCATGCAAATCACTTTCATTATGCAAATACATGCAAATAAGCCCCAACCATTGGAGCATCAAGGCTGGGAAAAAAACTACACAGAGAGGGAATGAAAGAAGGGGGAAAAAAAGAAGGGAAGAAAGAACGAGCAGGACAAATCTTTTTGGGTGGCAGTGATAATAAGTGAAATTAACGTGGCGACGAAAAACAACGGCAGCCCACTCTGGACAAAAAAAGGCTGCTGCTGCGTCTCGCTGTTTTCGCAGCGACTTTCATCTATGCTTTCCCCCCCTGTGAAACCAATTACATTTCCGTCGTTATGCCACCCAAGATCATTGTTGTTGCCTGAATGTGTCTGTAGTTGAAGACAACAGCTGATGATAGCGAGACATATCGCCCCGGTTAGAAAATGGAACGCCTGCCATTTTACACACAGTTAATTGTTTGCTGTAGCCATATATCACCAACAACACTTATTGTTTATATATACATTTCTTTGCTGTAATATAATCCTGAAAGACATGCAAACATATTAACCATGCTGATGTACCAAATTAACGGCAAACAGAGTTAATGTTCTTGATATGATATCGCGTGAGTAAAGAAGCCTAAACTGAGGGGTAATATGGAACATATGCTGTCTGGGCGCCCTGCTGAGTCTCCCGTCCAGGAGTGTGTATATGCCTGAATCGGCAATGACCAGTTCTGGCAGAAAGGGTGATAATTGCTTAGCTTGCTCCGAGGCAACTGAACAAGGGAATGTGAAAATTTCTACAAAGGCGAGGATGTTTTAAAATAAAACGAAGTACACTTTTTTAAAAGCATGTGAATATAGTCACAAAGTGTTTTCTAAGAATATAAAATGAATATTTAGAAGGTTGAAACTAAGTTAATATTCTCCTATAAAGGACTGATTTTAGTATTAATGTCAGTGATAAGTGTTAATTCGGTGATATATGTGTGCAGCGATTTAGTGACTGTTTGGAATAGTTTGTGCGTCAGTTTCAGATTCAAACTTCCGCCCGTTTTTTCCCGCCAATTTTTTCTGAGAACTCCCTGACCAGCATAAGGCTGGATTTAGCATGTATAAACTGAATGGCTCACATGTGACAAGCAAACACTGAGGGGTTTTGTGGGGTGGGGGGACTGGAGAGTAGCTCACAATAAACCTGCAACTATTGAGCTGTTTGCTTTTGTAATTGTGAGGTTCTTTAATGCCAGTCCTCCTTGCGGCAGTTTACAGCGACGCTTTCTCCTACAGAAGGTCTTCTTCCTCGATACTGTCCTGAAATTCTTGAGGTCTGTCGAGGGCTCAGGCTACAACTGGCTAAATGGTAGCAAGGGGACGAGTCCCAGGACAGAGAAGAGACAGAGAACCTAAAAACTAACTTTAAAAAGTACAACTGAGGGGAACCCCACTGCCTTGGCCCTGACACTTATACTGGCAACAACGCCATCATTCTTTGTCAGCGGGTGGTGCCGGTAGGAGTGGTACGATGGGTGGGGGTGGAGTGTAGTGATGGGCAGAATCGATGCGGAAAGGGTACCACTGAATGGTGGCAGATATTTAATAATTTCCTATTTGTTTGTTTGTTTGGGTGCTCAATTTGGATGTTGGAAAAATGTCCTCATACAAATACAAAGCATTTGACACCGTGGGCAGTACAGGCTTGTTGCTTGTGGTGATGCCTTCATATGTTAGAGGAGAGAAAAAAAACAAGCAAATGACTTGCTTTTAGACACCTCAGCTGTCCAATGTGAATGTCCCCTGGTCCCAGAACTGACTGAAAACCTAAATAGAATGCAATTTCTGTTCTGGTCTAAAGTCACTTCTCTAGTGTATTGGCTCAGATCTTAATTGCAGCGTGATAATTGGAAAGAAGGGTGACCAGTCTCAACATGTAAAACCAGACGCCTGTTACCTAATTTGGGTATACAAAACATAAGTAGCCAAAGAAGCACGACACTTAAATACTTAAACTTAGCCCATAAAGTAAAAATGCTGTAGCTGAAGCCTATACCTCAGCGTGTTAGCTTCTCATTTTAGCTGCCATGACTTCATATCTACTCATTAACATTCTAACAGCTAAGCAAAGGTGTACCATCAATGTGAAACCATGTTCTACATGTGGTTTCACATATGGTACCATACAACGTGCAGTAATCCTCTTTCGCTCCACATTTCGGTGAGCCCAATTCTTAAAGACAGATGTTAACACATTATCTGTAAGTTGTTGCACTCAGATTCGCTTGGATCTGCTGAATTTGAATGACGTCAAACAGAAATTGAAAACGCAAATGGGTAAACAAATCTTCAAAACACTATAGAAATGTATTGCGAAAGATATGAAATAAAACACCATTTTCATAACCTACTCTTTATGCACCACACAAGGCCTTAATAGAAGAACAAAGTTCTGACATCATGTGACATCTCTGCAGAAATAGGAACTTCGAGAATCTGCAAAGCCGGGCCTTGTGACTGATTAGCTTGTGTTTGTTGTGTACTGTTACTGGTAAGTTATTCAGCCTAATCCCCTTCATCATCAGGAGCCCACTGACTCCTGCAAATGGCGGAAATGTATTCAGATTTCATGGGGAAGGGTCTGCTAAAATGTGGACTCTGAACAGGCCAACAGTGAACAGTTCTTCCTGCCTGTTTGACATACTCCATTAACAGGGCAAGAAGGGCAAAAATCACCCCGTTTTTTTTTTTGTTCCTTAGAAAACACTCTCTGTTTGTTCGGCCCCCGTTGTGGTGGAAGAGTAGCAAAGGGCTCCATTGTTTCCCCATGACAAGTGTACTAGTTCTATTGACTGTACAGTTGACTGGGGGGTAAGGCTACAATGGCTGTTTTTCTACTTGACACTTGCAGTCTAAATCTGCTTGCCTAGACCATGAAAACCAAGACAAATCCACCCCACGGCCCCTCCTTCACTCTTTTTCCGACAGACGTGGAAGAAAGGACCCAGCTTGGCCTTTTGTCTGAAAATCCTGACTTGGGCCTTTTCAAGGCGACAAAATGCGAGGGGGGCTCCTTCTAGAACTTTCTACCAGGATTTGTGATGCAGAGCGTCAGAGAGATAACAACGCTGACTGCCACACACAAAGACCCCCTCTGCACGCACATTCCTGCTCTATACGGTTTACCCTCCAACACCACCCTGTACCTGCATGTAAATTTCTCGTAAATGTCCACTCTCCATTACAGATGACTACCATGGGACACAAGGCCAAACAGAGACTTCTTTACTGGAATGGGATCGGAGCCAACAGTACCGCAGTCCTCCATTAAGATTGGGAGTTTCTTTTTGCACACACACTGAGTCCCTGTTTATCTCAATCCTATTTACACAGATACAGGTTTCCATGACAACTTACGTGATGGTCGCTAGACTCAATTTAGTAACGACGACTGTCGTTAAGCTAGCCACTCCCCCCACCAGCCTCGTCCAATCAAAAATCAGGATTCCCAGCCATTCAGAGTCCAGATAAATCCTTCACAATACAAGCAACCTGAGTCATGACGAAAATGAGCGGCATATGCGTGCTGGGTCACTTCCTGTCACCTCTCCACAAAGCTCCCCCCGGCCGTCTGCCAGCGGGTTGTACTCGGCGACTGCACTGCAACAGTGAAAACAGGCTGAGTGGATGTCAGAGGCTACACACGTAGATAAGGAAGCTTGGACCGTATTCTGTGAGCTAATTGGATAGGGTGTGCTTGAACTGTGCTGCCTGTCTGCTGAAAGCTCTGCTGGTGTCATGGAGGTGGAGAAGGGAAGCAGTCTGATGCTCCTTAAGTTCTCCTTGAGGAATGAGCTATCAAGGCATGTTAGTGTGCCTAATATCAAATACTGTAGCACCCTTTGTTACGTAATATTGTTTCAAAGACTTTGATTTTGAAAGATGGCCATTTCCGAAATTAAATTATGAAAAATTATGAAAAACTGAACGTGAAGAGAGTATTGAAAATATGCGTGTCATGGAGCTGAAATGAGAAACCGGTGATTTCTAGATCATGCTTAGTGTGATGTAGTCTGCGTGGATTTCAAAGGGAAAGAGATGTCAGTAGGAGCCAGTTCAAAGTGCTTGTAATAGTATAACCACGCTGGACCTAGAAATTCTGAGCCCCCTGACAAAATGTCACTGTTGGCTCCCCTGTCCAATTTTACAAATAATTTTACATTTTCAAGGGCCCTTGTAACGTGCTGGCCCCCCGAATCTGCCAGGGTATCCATGCCTGTACTGCGCCCCTAAGTATATCCCTTGTATATGCAGAGGATTGTCTGCTGGTTTGACGGCCGGAGTAACAATACTGTCCTCAGAACACTTTCTGGGTATAATTGTTCCTGTCCGCAGCCTTAATGGGACTGCGGGACCTACAGCTGAGTAGGGTCAGGTGGGGCAATCTGTCAGATCAGCACTGCAGTCAGCTGGCAAAGCACAGCTCACTATGCCGGCGGCTTCCACAGAGGCCGACTGCCCCATGAAATTAACGACTCTGAGGCACCACCTCTGAGCTTTGCTGAGCCGAATCAAACAAACATCACATGCTATTGGAAAGCACCAGTAAAATTAGTGTCCTGAATAGTTAATGCAACATTTTACAGCCCCCATCTGGGTTTCCCTGCCAATGAGTATAAAACTTTACGGTGCACCGACCATTTTGGGCAATTTACTAAAGCAGGACTGCGGCTTACAGAGAGGAACGCTGTCCTGCGGACGTGCTAGCGAGCGATTGCCATGTGACATTGAGCTATAAGCCCTTGCATGTTGCATACCGGCTTCAGGGAATTAATAGATTAACCGTGGTCATGCTGCACCAACACCCCCTCCCCTTAATGCAGGAAAGGGGCTGTCAGGGAATCAGCATGTGCTTTTCATCTTTCTCTTGATTAAAATTTCACTGTTACTTTAGCTACTCGTGAAAGTAGCTCCAAATCCAAGTGCCAAAGGGAGTAAACAGGGCAAGAAGTTCACTGTAATAAAGGTCTGAAATGTTCAGATGTTTCCCTTCAACTGTTAAGTATCTGGCCGAGTTTTTACTGTGAAATTTAAGGTCAGCCCCCCCAGGGAAGTAATGTTTTTCTTAACGGAGATACTACATCAGCAAGCACTCTTTCAAAGGATTACATGGGTTGTGGCTGTAGACAATGGAAGCATGAATCTCTTTCAAGCCTTACCTGTTACCCTGGTGCTATCAAACTGTTGCTATATATGAGGTGTCTTGTCTGGGGAACTGCTCAAAGCATGTGTGGCACAGAGAAAGCTGATGGCTGAGATTTCTGTCTTACCTTTTTGTTTTACTTTTGCTCTGCTCTCTTCTGATTGCTTCATTGTTGGATTTGGTTTCTACTATTGCATATGCATGTATGTTTTCTTTTTTTTTTGCATTCCCAGGGATGAAGGGAGTCTTGTTGCCTTTCAGGAGTGTAATGGGATTCTTGTTACTTTCGGTTATCTAGCTTTATGAAGAATGTACACCACTCATACAGCTAGATAACCAAAGATAACAACCAACCCCTAGGCCACCCAAATTCTCAAGCCATGTGTGTCACAGCCAGGACAGATTCAGACCTATAATCACAGGAAAGACACATAGGTATTACAAAGACATCTGCCACTGGAAATATTCATAGCCATTTCAATGCACATATTATATCAAAAGAAGAAAAGAACAGTCAAGCATTAAAGAATCCAAAAATATAGTCTGATTACAGTTTTATGTAAACCTTTGTAATGCTTATTTTAAACTGCATCTAAAATACTTTAGCAAAGGATGTAAGGAAAGTTAAAAGACGGCACAACCTGTTTAATGGGAGTTATTCATGCTTTTCATCATTATTTTTAATATGTATATGAACCAGAATTTTAACAATGCGAATCCAGATGCTTCGCTTTGTACATTGTTCAGATTTTACTCACTTTTTGGGACCTTTTTGTAATAATTTTCACTCCATCCAGATCCCTGCACACGGATGCACACATACGCACACACACACACACACACACACACACACACAGAGCATGGCACTGGAGCTGATGTAATTAAACCTCTTTCTCTTAGCACAGTGGCACTGTGAGGCTCCTCCCCCTCCCTACTCTTGTAATTATACTGAAAAAAAAGGGGGGAAATCGCCCTCCACCCTCTTCACCACCTGCATCTGTACACTGATACACAAAGTCAATGATTGCAAGATCGCTTTAACTACAACAGCTTCGCTTCAGGTTATGTTTAATTCCCTATACATTTACATTCTCATTTTCCACATAATGTTGCCTGGGATAGGTTCCAGGCCCCCCTAGAATCCTGTCCAGGAATCAGGATTTGAAGATGGATAAATGGAGCGACGCATATAGTAGAACTGCACAGTCTTGCTATATTAATATACTTTCTTCCATTTTATTATGCTCATTGTAAATATGTATGAGGCTTTGTAGATATAATGATATACATATATAAAGCCGCCAAACATCCTCAGGTGCCCACGGCTTCGTGTCAAATCCTAATGTGTCATTGAAATGTTTGTTAAATCCAAAAGTACAAGTGGTCACATATAAGTAACAAGTTAACGATATAGATTTTTAGTATAAATTCATACTGGAACTGCATAGTCTTTAATATCTGATAAATAAGTGAAAATAAGTAAGTGATGGATGAACATTTTGTGGGATATTAAACATGTACATCCTTGACATCCTAAGAACAATACTAATGAAAACATTATATCTATCTATCTATCTATCTATCTATCTATCTCTCTCTCTCTCTCTCTCTCTCTCTCTCTCTCTCTATCTATCTATCTATCTATCTATCTATCAAAGCACCTCTAACATGAACAATCCTAATTTGATTTTAACTGTTTTATATGAGGAACGTATACTTGTGTATTTCATTCCCATCGTACTTTTTGCCTTTATATTGTTACTTTAATACAATCGTTTGTTTCCCAACATATTTTAATCAAACTACAATACCATATAAAACTATCTGGCTATACTATGGAAAAATAACAAATAAAAAATTTCTGAAAAAAATTCATATTAAAAAAATCATGCGCATTTATATTTATCTTCCGAAAAAATAATAAATTACGTCAATGTAGTGCAATACCTAGAAAATATTCCTTTGTAACATGATATGTTTTTATATTTAAAGAATTAAAATCCAAAAAGAAAGATTTTGATATTTACACTATTAAATATAATCGTTTTAAAAATCTAATTAATGGTGATCTGATGTATTTTTCCATGTGTGCATTTATTTTAATGGAGATTGGAGACGATATAGAGTGACAGATCGGTTATGGCGCTCTATTTCAGCACCGCCAACAAAGGACA